CCCCGCCCCCCCCCCCCGCGAACCCTCCCAAAGACGGCGGGCGTGGGGGGGTGGGAGGCGAGGGTTAATCCCCCCATCTTTAAATTCTCTGAGGCCAGCGATTGCTGGGAGGTGGCACAGGGAGGGAGGGAGGGAGGGAGGGGCCGTTGAGACCGGGAATCCAGGGTCAAAAAGGAAAAGGCACCACAAGGAAAGGTTTAAAAAGGAAAAGGCACCACAAGGAAAGGTATAAAAAGGAAAAGGTACCACAAGGAAAGGTTTAAAAAGGGAGGGGGAACCAAAAAAGCAGTTTGCCCCTGGCAAATGAAAAACCAGATGGGAAGGCAGCTGATCTAAAAAAAAAAAAAGAAAAAAAAGCAGCTACACCAGAAAAGCTACCAAGAATTGGCCCACCAAGAAATGAAGGAGTACATGTTCTTCTGTTTTCTTTTTTTTTCCTGGTGCAGGAAAAACATTTGGCCAGAAGTAAAGGTAGGAATAAAAGTCTGAAGGCTCAAATGCTACTGTAATGGGTAATATCTTTGCAACATGCTCCAGTATTTTGTAGTCAGAGAAGGGGGAGGGAGGTACATTTTTTGCCCTATTGTTTAATTGCTGTGCTGCACCCAAGAGTGCTTTGCATTTCAACTTTTATCAGCAATCTCATTCTCTGCTTTGCAAGAAGAATCCAGCATTGGCCCTAAAGGGGGTCTTCCTGTGTTTTACTTTTAAACTAAATGGGTTATGAGGAGAGGTTTACTAGGTTTCATCTTTGTCCCTCAGTATGGATATTATGAACAAAAGGGAAACAATGTTTAGGACAATATTTGGCAGAGCTTCCATGAATGGGTATGGTCTATCTGAAAAAAATTTTTTTAACAACTTTTGGCTCTGGAAGCAATCAAGGCACTCTATAAATTCCTATGTCAATGTAGATTCCTTCTTTGCATCTTTCCAAGTTCTCCTTCTAAGAAATTATTAAGAATGAGAAGATATTAAAGTCCTTAGCAGCTGAAGTATATAATGATGTCTTCATCCAAGTAGAAATGTGATAAACAGTCCAAGTTTTGTGTCAGGGTTGCTTGCATTCACCCATACCTTTTCACAGTATGAAGGCCTGCTATCTGGGTATGCTTTTCTACAATTAGGCTAACCTCTCATGATTTGTCTTCCCTATGGTAGTAAGAATCAGCCTAGCAGCTTCATCCTACACTGCATGATCAGGTAATTAATCCTAACAAGGATCTGTGACTCAGCCACTCTGCACATGGTAGTAAGAATCAGCCTAGCAGCTTCATCCTACACTGCATGATCAGGTAATTAATCCTAACAAGGATCTGTGACTCAGCCACTCTGCACTGTGAGGCAAAGCCAGTCTTTTGGAGATCTTTTGGGATATTGGCATTGGGTTTTCACAGGTAAGGCCTCCCAAAGCAGAAATTCCACGTCTTGTCTGGCCACAAATCATTGAAGGGGTGGATACCACTATTGGATAAAGCCATCCTGAAGTTCGATCAATGATTTGTTGACCTCCACCTAGTCTATGCCCAATATCAAAACCTCACCCCAGGAGAGAAGGTTTGCATGCTCCATGTGTGGAAGTTAGAATCTGATGCTTTCCTGCTGGCGGTTGCAACTGAGGAAGCTGCAGGAGCAGACTCAAGAGTGGCCAGTGACATCAATGTAAATAAAAAAATAACTGACTTGGCACTACTGGGCATAGATGTATGTGGGAGGATGTAATAGACCCTGGCTACCAAGGAATGCTTCTCCACCTAGACCTAGAGAGACCTGAAAGGAGCCTCACAGCAGGAGAGAGAGAGAGAGAGAGAGTGTGGTGCAACTGATCCTGCACAAAATCACCTTCCCTCTGTGACAAAAGGGAACCCCCCTGTACAGAGTATATCGCCAGAGACAGGCTGGTAGTCGGGCTGCTCCGACTCTAAGCTCCTACTAGTGTTGGTCGGTCGCACACAATGATGGATGATCAACAGCAAGTGGGGTGTCTTCTTGCTGGATAAAGTCAATATTAGAG